GATAGACACTAATAGGGTCAGCTCAGACAACTCCCATTTTCAACCCCCGTCTTCTGTACTGCCTGCTTCTGTTATATAAGCTGTAAAAGTAAGAACTGTGTTCCTAGCCTCCCTTGCAGTTAGTGGTGGCCATGGGACTCAGGTCTGGCCTGTGAGACACAAAGAGAAGTCCCTTGGGCCAGCCGAGTGGCTCAGTTGGTGAAGAGCTTGCTCAAAGGTTTGAGCTCTGAGCAACAGCGGTTCGAGTCCGGCCCGAGCTGAGCTGCCACTGAGCTGCCAGCAGGTGGCAGGATGGCTCAGCTAAAAAAATTTTAAAAAATAAAATAAAAAATTTTTAAAAAAAAGAGAAGTCCCTTGATGCTACCTTTTCCTCTTCCTCCTTTTTTCCTGCTTAGAGACGGACGTGACATCTGGAGTTACTGCAGCCATTTTGTAACCATAATAAGGTGACAAGCAAGATGATAAAAGCCCAAATCCTAAGGCTGGCAGGAAAGAAAGAAAGACTACGATGTTAAACAGCTGCCCCAGACCTACCCACCTCCTTACTTCTTGCTATGTGAAGAAAATAAATTCTGTTTTAGCGTTAATCAAGGTTTCTCTTATTACCTACCAAATAGAATCCTAACTGACCCAGTGTTCATTAACTCCATGGACATGGCACCTGACATCAGCTTGATGTCACTGTTGGTATGTGTCTCAGACTTTGGGAGAACCTTCTGTAGACAGACTGTATTAGTTTGTTAGGGCTGCCATAACAAAGTACTATAGATTGGGTCACTTAAACAGAAGAAATTTGTTTTCTCACGCTTTTGGATACTAGAAGTTCAAGATCAAGGTGTTGGCAGGTACTTTAAGGAAGTTCAAGATGAAGGTGTTCTTTTGAGGCATCTCTCCTTGGCTCACAGATGGCTGCCTTCTTGCTGCCTCTTCACATGGGTTTTCCTGTGTTACCTGTATCCTTCCTAATCTCTTCTTATAAAGACATCATTTATATCGGATTAGGTCCCACCCTAACAACTCCACTTTAACTTAATCGCTTCCTTGAAAACCCTAAAGTCACATTCTGAGGTACTGGGGGTTAGAGCTTTAACACATGAATTTTGGAAGGACATAATTCAGTCCATAACAAAGTCCTAATAATTTATTTTTTAATAGAAACTATTTTTTTCCTTCCTTGAAATCTTGCCATCACATGACAACATGGCTCATGGATGTTCAAAGTCCACAAGCAGAATCATGAGCCTGCTTATGAGGAGAGGAAAGCCCTGGATTGGGGTCAGGAGGCCTGGGCTCTAGATGTTGATCGTCCTCTTGTGGGCACACTTAGTCTCTCTGAAACTCCGCGTTGTCATCTGTAAGAAGGTGTGAATATTACGTGTAGCAATGTATGCAAAAGTATCCATATACTGAGGATATTTTATCAAACCTAAAACACCATCAATTATGACATGCAGCATTATGTTATGCATACCCAAAATGGCAAAATCATGCCATGGGAGCTTTTGAAAATTACAGGTCCAGGAATCCTATTCCAGATTCATTAAATTATAATATGGGATAGCGTTCAGGAATTGGTATTTTTTTTTCATTTCCCATATTATTCTGATAATTGATAGCTTCTGAAGTGATGGCTTTCAGCATATTGTCAGTCAATGTGTTGAATAACCCAAAATTTAATTCTAAGCTGAGATCTTTGGGGAAATTTATCAGTTTCTTAGATATTCTATAGGAAGCCTGGATTTCAGACTTTGCCAACAAAAACCCATTGCCCAAATTTCTTACATTCTCTAACACATTCATGGAATTCCAGAAGGCCCCGACTTAGGAGTTGCATATAATAAATACTTCCGTAGAACATGTAAACCAAGCCCCTTCTAGTGGTAGGAATGCTGTGGCATTTACTCTTTTGTAGTTGTTTTCTGACCCCTTCCCCTAACTATAACTTGGAGGTGTTGAGCCTACAACTTACATTCTCTACTTTTCTGATCCTACATGATATACTGTCAGTTTCTTGTACGCATATTTTAAACATTTGTGTGAAACTTTTTAAAAACTAGTTGAATCTTCTTAAAAATTATTTTTCTGAATACCTATGTTTGAATGCTGAGTAATGGAGTGCTATTATGACAACAGATAAAGCCAGGGTCAAGATTAGAGGGCCACTCTGGACTCCTTGACTCTCTTTACAGGTCATTAACAATGCACCTGACCTCCACTGCGACACCATCCCCGAGTCCTCATGCCTATATTTATATATGTTCATGATCTCAACAGAGTTCAATCCCCTGATTTCACAGTGGAGTAAACTGATGCTTCTCCTCCTTCATCCCCTGGCCAAGAAAGTAGGTGACCTGCCCAAGGTCACATGCAAGTTAGTGCACCAATACTGACCCTACTTCCCGACCACTTCCTGTCCATTCCTCTCACTCCCACATCCATTAATGACACCACAGGGAGCTTTTATCACAAGCACAGGACAATATCGCCAATGTAGTCCATCCCAATGGGAAACTGCTCTGAAGCCCACCCAGATCATTCCTGATCACATAGTTCTTGTTTTCATGCGGATTCCATCAGAGCCTTGAATAACTCCCAGGGTAGCCCGTATCAGATCCTCTGTATATTGGCTAAACTTTGGCTTACAACATATTTCAAATGCCTCCCACTGAACATTGGCAGCCTTGAAAAAATATGGGCAAACAATTATTCCAGGAGGCTCAATGGCTCTATGGCACTTTACAAGAAGCTGATGGCTCCCCCGCCCCCGCACGCCCCCCCCCAAGCTTTTCCGTCCATACCCAGGACAAATGACTGCATTTCCCTGTGTGTGCCCTAAAGTACGAGAGGGCCAGCTCAGCCGCAGCATGGAGGAAATGTCTTTCATGGGCAGGGCCCTCTGCACAGTTCAGTGTGCTTTGAGCCAAGTTCTTTCTCCTTTGGTTTTAAAACCCTTGTGTATTCCAAGAGAAATGTAGTCCATGTGTTTCTGATTCATTTACACTTAAATCATTAAAATGTTGTTTTGTGAGAGTTATTTGATGTCTGAGGGGCCTGTGAGTCTTCTTAATGGGATTTTTAAAGGGTTTTTTTTTTCTTTTATTCTGCCTGAAACACAAAGCAACATTTTGTTGAAACAGTGCCTGAGGACAAACATGTTCTCTCATCCCATATACTTGCACCCGCATTATCAACCACAACCTCTTAATAATGCAAGGCTTGGCAAGGCTGACATTTGAAAGTGTTAAAATAGAGAAAATGGAGCAATGAGAATTCCAGTGAGATTCAAGCCACTTTTCACCCAGAACGTGCCAAAGCAGGGTTGAGAGGCACGTGTTCGCCCCCTTTGGTAGAGTGGGTGGTACCTTCTCTCAGGTAGGTACACCACTGGACAGCTGAAAAAGCACTCTGAGCATCATCTCACTTAAATCTCATAGTAAACCCTATTTTCCAGATAAGAAAACAGGATCAAAGATTTTTAAGTATTGGTCCCAATGTACACAGATGGCTTGGATAGAAAGATTACAATTAAGCTCTGACTCTGCATCTAACGCTCTTTTCAAAATGCCTCAAATCGAGTTTCTCTGTAAATGTTGTGGGTACTTAAAATGTCATATGCATTACAATATATTATGAGAAGCAGTACAGTATAATCAGTAAGAGCTCAGATTTTCCCTTATCACTTTCTAGCTGTGTGACCTTGGGTGAGTTACTTAACTTCTCTGGGCAATGAGGACAATATTACTACCCACTTTTATGAGATATAAAGATAATTGGAGAAAGCTAACACATTACTAAAAAAGTGCCTGACACAGAGTGCTCAAGAAATGTTAACTAGTAGCAGTAGTAGCAGTAAGACGTAACAAAGAGCCACATAATATTGACAAGTCACCTCCCTGAGCCTCAGTTTTCTCATTTGTAAAATGAGTATAATGTAGGACCCTTACAAGCATGTGGGAGCCATTGAGATGACGTTTGTGCCTAACACTGTGCCTAACACAGAAGAGGCTTTCGGCAAAATCTAGTTTGTACATCCATTTGGTTGTCATTGTTGTAGAGAGATTAATATTCTTATTATTCAGGTCCGCTTAGATCTGGTGCTGATTTCTCCACAAACCCTGGCTGTAGACATGTACACGGGCCAGGGTGAGGGGCTCTCTTGCTGCAGAGGATCTTCTCTGTATTAGACCTCTGCATTCCTCGAGTTGGTAAACGGCACAAGTACTGCGTTTAAGTGGGAAGAAGACCCAGCCAACTGCAGGACTCGGTGCTCCCTGCCATTGTGGGCCAGTGGCTCTGCTCACGGGAAAACCTGTAGTGTTTGCCCACAGGCTGGGGCTTTGGGATTGGGATCTGTTTGCTTTCCTACTGTAGCTGTTAAAATTGTCTTCTTGGTTGGTGGTTTCTGTTAACTTGGTGTCCTTTTGCTGGTGCCCTGAAAAAGAACAGAAAACTATGGCCATCTGGCAAAGGAGACTGAAGAGAAATTAGACTTTGTCCCCCTCCACCCTCTACACACACATACACACACACACACACACACACACACACACACACACACACGCACATGCACATTTTGTTTGGAGACCTATCTATTTAGAAATTCTCAGCTATTTTCTCTCCAGAGCTGGAGCCAGCCACATGGGATAAAGGAGAGAAGTGGAGGAGCAGATCTCGTAAGGAAGAAGACAGATTCTGTNCACACACACACACACACACACACACACACACACACACACACACACACACACACACGCACATGCACAGTGACACAAATACCTATTTGAGCCTCTCAGCTATTTTCTCTCCAGAGCTGGAGCCAGCCACATGGGATAAAGGAGAGAAGTGGAGGAGCAGATCTCGTAAGGAAGAAGACAGATTCTGTTCTGTCAGGTTCCTCTGAGTGTGCGTAAGAGCCAGTCAGAGGAGAGAGAGAGAGAGGAGAGAGGAAAAGGCAGAGGGAGAGAGGGGGAGAGGGGGAGAGGGGATGTGTTGCAGGCAGGGGAAGGCGTGACCTGAATGGAGAATGCCAGCCAATTCCAGAGACACACAGGGACCTCAGAACAAAGATAAGGCATCGCTGACACCACACCAGGGACGAGCTCATAGACAAGTCAGGCCGGGGGGGAACAAGGCCAGGCAGCCAGGAGCACCCAAGGCAGGAAAATGAGGTGAGTGCCAGGACAGGAGTGGGCACGGGTGTCCCTTCAAGGACCAGGTGTCAAATAACCCTGGAAGGTCTGACCTTGTCTCTGGGCGGACTCAACCTGCATGTCCTATGGGTGGTAGAGGGGGGTTTCTCCTCAACCTTGGGGGCTCTGAGAAGGGAAATGAGGGCTGGATGCCTTCCCTGGGGCTCCGGAGACATGCAACTTGAAACGGGAGACTGTGCAAATCCTGCCCCAAAGCTGCTGAGGCTCTGATTTCTCCCTCTGCCAGCATAGGGTACTGCCTGCTGGCGGATAGGACTTTCCCCCTGTTGCCCACAAAGCTGATTTTTTTGTTTTCTTCCTCTGCTAAGAGCATTGGTTTATCTCTAACACTTTGTGAGTTAGATATGTATTTTTGTGTTTATTTCTTCTGACCGGAAAAGAAACCAGCTTCCCACAGTTTGGCTCTGGTTTCTTAAACCTTCAGAAGTTGGCCAGTTAAAACCTCAATTTAGAAAACTAAAAACCGGTCCCTGTTCTACAGTCCCCTATAAATTTCTGCCTTTCTCACTGAAACCAGAGGCAGCTGGTGGCATGAATCAGGCTATCAATTGCACCAAATGGCTCTTAAAGGGATACCACAAATTAAAAAAAAAAATTAGCCTTTAGATTTCTGAACCTAGGACTTTAAATTCTAATTGTTTTTATGCTCTTCAACATTTCCTATTCTTCAGACTACACTTGATCCTTCTTACTAAACATTCTGTATAAGTTTTCCTCTGTAAGTCTCAAAACCACTACCATCATAATTATTTTTACTACTTTAAGTGTTAATGCTATTAAAAATACCAAAAGAAAGAAAAGAAGGGAGAAAGAAAGAAAGAAAGAAAGAAAGAAAGAAAGAAAGAAAGAAAGAAAGAAAGAAAGAAAGAAAGAAAGAAAGAAAGGAAGGAAGGAAGGAAGGAAGGAAGGAAGGAAGGAAGGAAGGAAGAAAGGAAGGAAGAAAGGAAGAAAAGACTCTGTGGATGTGTTAAGTCCCTAAACACCTCTTTCCCATTAATTTTCTTCTCAATTGGAAAGAGGGTTCTATTTGTTTCTCTTCTGCAAAGTCACCTAGCAACTTTTCTGAGCCTGGAGTCAGTGAGGGGACTTCAGACTGTTAACCCTTTCAACTCAGATTATCTGTGGTTCAGAGAGATAATCAGGTCTTTAAGGTTAATTCAATCATTCTGTTCTTTTTAAATCCATTGTAATTTGAAACCTGCCATCTAACTTCATTTTCTTTTCTCCTAAAAGAGGTGATCTTTATGTCATCTACATGGAATGACAATTTGATCTGTCACTATTTGAAACCCACCCTACCGCCCAATGCTCCAGACATACCAAACTACAGGGTTGACTGACAGCTCTGTATCGTTGCTTTTACTCATCCCTTAACCCAGAGCAGCCCTCTCCCTCCTTTGGTACCTAGGGGACCCGATTGATTGAGTCAGCTCAAACATCACCTTCTCTCTCCTGGCCAGCATCCCCAGCATGAGCGTCCCCTCCTTTGTGCTGTCTTTGTCCTTTGGGGCTACATCTCTTCTTGTCTTTGTAATATTTCCTTGTTTAAACATCGACCTCCTTTTCCAAGGCTGAATGTTTCTTAAGGTACAGAATCTATGTCTTGTCCATCTTTGTGTGCCCAGCACCTAGCATGATGTCTGTTTCCTATTAGGCATTCAATAAATATTGGCTGAATTGAAGTCAGTTGTTGAAATACCAAAAGTACTATTGGAAAAGCATTCCACTAGAAGTCTTTAAAGAGTCTTGTCTCACATAGAACAGCACTTCAGAGTTTGCAAAAACACTTTTATAGGCACTGTCGCATCTGGTCTTCAGATTGTGGATAAGGTAAGGATTGATGGAGAAGTGAGGATAAAAGCAGTTAACTTGCCCAAAGACACACTGACGATTTTTGAAAAGGCTCAGACTTAAACTTGGGTCTTTGGGCTCCAAGTCCAGGATTTTTTCTACTGTATTTCACCGAACTCTCCACCAAGTGTATCAGTCTATACTGGCAGCTCTCAGTCCTAACTACACGTTAGAAGAATCTGTAATGCTTTAAAACTTGCCAATGACTAGACCTCACTCTAGACCAATTAAACTAGAATCTGCTGGGGAAGGGCTTTGGTATTAGTGTCTTTATTTAATTTTCACATAAAGCCATGGGTTTTTGAATTATTTTTCACAGGATTAATTGCTTTGGCCCGATGCCTGGGCATAATATGGGCAAGGACCCAGCTTCCTCTGTGAGCTTTTGTTATTCCCTTCTTCTGTGGAAGCTAATTCACCATATGGTATTGGGCATGACATGTCACCTCTTGGGGTATCCTTTTCATCATCTGTCAAATAAGGGTGTTGTCAAAGGGATCTATACAGCCCCTTTCAACTGTTCTACTCAAAAACAGTCTGGGTGTAGTGTAGGCTGAAGTGAGGGGAGTGAATGGAGGGGATATAAAGTGTTACTCGTTCCACAACCATTGACATACGCAGGCATTTTTATGCATTCCTGATTGCCGGCTCCTATAGTGGAGCCTATGAAAGCCCAGCTTTATACATTACTTTTGACATTTCAAGCAAATGTAGCTAAACTTTTTTGATTAGCTGGAGAATAGATAGCAGGTGTCAGGAATTGTACAGCCGGTGCCTGGTGTATAAGAAGCCAAAAAATTCAGAGTGTGATGGGGAATGAAAGCTGCCACTTGCATTCTTTGATTTGTAGCCCCTAAAGCAAGCAAGCATATGCTCAAGCCCATTATGTACAAGGAGATATTTGTTTCGTATGTTTGACAGTTTTGAGAGGCAAACAAAATAGAACAGAAAGCTTCATAGGCCTTCCTCCCACGCTGACCAGTTGCCTACCACATATGGTCCTGGGCCTCCTGGGGCTGTCAGCAGCCAGCGCTTGACAGACCCACATCAGGAGGCTGAGAGTCTCCTCCATGTGGTCTGGAAAATGCAGACATGGAGAAAGCTGACCTTTCAGCCTTGCATAATTTGGATGCGGCTATTGCAGGGAAGTCCAGTTTGGGAGCCAAAGCCCACTCCAAGCCCCTCCCTGCTTTTCGGGAAGCAGCACGATGGAGTAATCAGAACTAAAGTTTGCTTAGGGCTGGACAGTTAACAAAGCACTTTCAATCTTCCTTTACTGTGAGAGCAGCCCTGTGGGGCGTCATTATTATCACCACTGAATGGATGAAGAAACTGAAACCTTACATGACTTCCCCAAGATGGATCAGATAAATGAACTCAAAGTCTGCACTTGAAGCTAGTTCTGACCCACGACCAACGCGCTCGCCTTCCCAGGCAGCATTGAACCAGAGCCCCCTGTCCTGCGGACATTGGTACATTTCTTCACTTGAAAGTAGGCTGCCTGGACCCTGCAAGCGAGAGCTTCTGAGCTCAGCTCTCCTACGAAGCCACTGGCAAGCTTGGACTTCCGCCTCCCTTTCTCTCTGCCTCTGAGACTGTCCCCCCACAGATTAGTTTAAAAACATATTGACCCTGCCAGTTGGATTAAAACATTTTGTTTTCTTAGTTGTGTCTCACGTGTTGCTATTGTAGGGGCCTTGGAAATAATTTAATTAACCTATTTTCTTTTTGTTGAGAAAATAGTATAGGCCCTTCTAGACAAATTTGAACATTTCATATACAAAAAAAAAAATTAAAATCACCATATTCCCACTTCAGTGATAGCTATTGGTAATACCCTGGTGATAACCTTCTAGGCCTTTTGGCATTTGCTTATTTACCTTTTATGTCAATAGTGAATGAGACAGCTAGATAACCTACGTATATATTTATCTTGTGTTTACACACACAAAAATTCATGTGTATGCATACACACACATATTTGCATCTGTACACTGGGGAGGAATGGTTGGGGAGAAACAGCTTCCTGATTAGCATGTAACTATTAATCTGAAGATGCTGGTATAACTTCCCGGCGTTGACTTTTTGGGCTCTATGACTCAGGCCTCACTTTCTTTCTTTCTGTTATTCATGCATTCATTCACTCATTATCTGTTACATACCAGGCTCTATACTAGTTCCTTTGTATACATGTGCATCATCTTGAATGCTCATGTGAGTCATTCTAGTTAGAGATTATCATCCCCGTTTTACACCTGAGGAGGCTGGAGCTCAGAGAGACTAATAAACCAAGATTTCACAGCCAGTAAGTAGAAGAGCTGGGATTTGGACCCAACTACATCTAACTTCAGGGGTTCTGCCTCTGACGTAGTGCATTGTGAAAGATGCTCTCGTGGAAGCATGTACTATGGGGAGCTATGGAGCGAAGGGTACTCCATAGCCTGGGAAGCTTTGAGCTGGATGGTGGAGGAGAAATAAGACAAGCAGGTCAGGAACGAACAGGGCATATGCAATGGGGTAGCGGGGCCAAGGCATGGATGGGCATAATATGCTCCCAGAAACAAATGCCAGAGCATGGCCGGCACCAAGATGCAGCTGGACCCGCAGATCCACACTAGATCAAAAAGGGGTCCTCAGCCGTCCCAGGGTCAGATGTGCCCCATAGGCACCGTGGAGCAGCATGGTCATATCTGTGTTTTAGAAAATCAACTTTGGTGGAAGACTGCTGAATGGTATCAAGTGGGGGCAGGAAGATCACTTGGTATGCGATAGCAATAGACTAGATAAGAATGTTTAAATTAACTGACTGGAGAAAAGCAGGTGGATTTCTAAAACGTAGGAAGCAGAACAAATAGGACTTATGGAAAAAGTTGATAAGCCAGGTTTGGATGTTTGAGTTCAAGGTCCTTGGGTCTTGCCGTGGGTGCAATCTATTAGAAACCTGTTGTGGTGTATGTTGACCATTAGGGTTTTGACCAGCTTTAGACATTCTGCCTCTTTATTGCATCAGCTACTTTGCGTGTGTTCTGTAAGTTTTATTGAGTTTTCCTTGTCCCTTAAACAACTCTTTTAACAGCCCATTATCTCTGATTCCTACAGCTGGAAATAAGTTGCACGGTCTTGATTCTTTTCTAAGAACACTTACCAAGGGGGAAAAATAATTCTTTCACCCATTCTGTCTTAATTTAAAATTGTGCATACCTTGATTGATTTTGTTAAATTTGTGTAAGATACTGCAGATCCCATCATTCAGTATAAATCTCATCCCACTATTACCAAGTTACCATTACTTACTTCTTAGAAAATTGAACCAAGATTTTATGATTCTTAAATGAAGCTGAGCTAAAGAAATATCAAATTTTACCTAATTGTGAAATTTACATTTTCAACAGAAAAATATGTGTCAGATTCCCAAATGTAGTACTTTCTGGGACAGTTTAATACTATAATGTTATCAAATCCTCAAAAGAGCACAACTGGAAAAAAAAAAACCTTAGAAATCACTGAGTTGCTGTCTTCCTGTATCATCGACGGTAAGTTACCGTCTTCCTGCCCCCAGAGGGGAAATGTAATGACAGCAGGTCAGTGGCAGAGAGATGCTGAGAACTCGGCCTCCTAGCTGCTGGTTTAGTTACATAGTGAGGACCTGTGTCTGTGAAGGTTCAGTAGATCCGTGTCTGTCTTTCAGGTGGCTCCTTCTCTGTCATGCTCTATGCTTCTCCTTGTTGAAGGCTTTGGCCCACACTGTGGAGCTCAACAACATGTTTGGCCAGATTCAGTCGCCTGGCTATCCAGACTCCTACCCGAGTGATTCAAAAGTGACTTGGAATATCACTGTCCCAGAGGGATTTCGGATCAAGCTTTACTTCATGCACTTCAACTTGGAATCCTCCTACCTTTGTGAATATGACTACGTGAAGGTGAGACCTCTGATGTTCCCTCACTGGGCCAGGATCTCTGCTGGAGAGCCTGCTGAGAGTTAGAGAAGCCTAGATGAATTAGGTGCTGTGCTTACCCTCCCAGAGTGGCCATCCAGTGAAGGAGACACACAGGTTATAATATGATGAATGAAGGTGTGGGTGGTATGCTAGGTGTAGGCTGAGTGCATAAACCTAGAAAGGACCATGAGGGAAACTGAGGCTGGCAAAGTGTAACTCAGCCAAACGCAACCTCCTCTTTGTCTTTCTGTTCTCAATCTTTAATGTTTCCTCTAACCTCTGCTCCAAGGTCACCTTTAATTCAAAAAAGCAGAAAAGGGCAGAGACCCCCAAAGTAAGCATTAATCAGACTGGAATGCATCCATAATTATATCCAGGGCTGAGGCATTAGAAAGCATTGTCCAGTTCCCTAAGTAATGATTATGTGTTTGGGAAGTGTAGGGTATGTGGTAGTAGACAGTAGGAGGTGAGGTTGGAGGGTTAGGTTGGGGAGAGATTCTGAAGGGCCTTGACTGTGATGCTAAGGAGTTTGAATTTTATCAGCGAAGGGCATAGACAAGGGCGGGGATCACTATTAGAGGTACATGTAAATAACACACACAGAAGAGGAGCAGGAAATGATTACATCAGCATAATATTCCCTGGAATTTATAGAGAGAACCCACAACAATGTCACAGATGGAAAGCTCTTCTTTAAAAGTAGGGCTGAGAAAAGTTGGAGTGCTTTTTCTTTTTTGTAATTTAAGTAAGAAAATACATTTGGAGTACTTCTGAAGAGATGAGGTTGTATCTGGTTCAAAAAGATGACAACCTACTTTCTAACTTTTCTCTGGCTTCCTGGAAGAGGTTCTCATCAAACCACTCTAGATTAGACTTTGTATATTTTTAGTGTTATTATAGTCTCATTTTTCCACAGCCAGTAATTCGACAAGAGTTAACCTTTTATTAACCAAGATGTTTGATCAACAGCAAAGCAGTGTATTTACACTTGTAATTTTACACTTGTAATCTCATTCATCCTTGAAAACAATCCTATGAGACAGGGACTACTATCCCATTTTACAGGCTAAGAAACAAACCCAAAAAGGTGAAGCAGCTCATCCAAGATTGTATAGCTAGTAAGTAGTGGAGCAACATTCCAAACCCATGTCTTGTGATTTTCAATTGCATCCTTTTTTGGCCACACAAGCGGTGCTCCACTGAGCCCCAGGGTTCTGCAGGGGCTTACCAGGCCACTAGAGGGGAGGAGGCCCGGTAAGTGGGGCTGTGAACCCCTACCCTGCATTTCAATTGTTGGGTGTTCCTTATTATTTATGTCAGGGCTGCATCAAATATCTCATTTGCAACAAGACTTCTGTAACTAAAAACTTCCCAAAATTGGTGGTCCATGGCAGAGTTTCTCGGTGTCAGCACTACTGACATTTTGAGTCAGATAATTATTTTCTGAGGAAAGCTGTTTTGGGAATTATAGGATTTTTAGTAGCATCCCTAGCTTCTACTCACTAGATGCCAATAACACTTCCCCTCTAGTTGTGACAACCAAAAATGACTCCAGAAGTTGCCAATATCCCCAGAGGGGCAAAATCTCCCATTTGAGAACCACTGCTACATAGGATGCTGCCTTTCTTTGAATGGCTTGTTCTCGGGACTATGAGAATTTAAGGACACAAAAGATTTTGTCCCTTACAAAGACAGATAAGCCTAGGAAAATAGCCATTGCACAAGATGGAAAAGAGTAATGGTAATAAAAGACTGACAGAATCAGAAGGGGTGGAACTGATTGCTCTAAGAGATGATGTAGGTTGGTAACCTAGACTGACATGCAGTCTTTATAAATTCATTAAAAATGGAGCCAACGCCTCAGAGTCACAAGGATCGGGCAGAGGCTAGTCACTGAGACCCTAAGTATTAATCATCCTAAATGGAAATGTCTGACAAATAGGTCAGTTATGTCTTCCAGGATATAATTTAGCTTCTGTCAGAGCCAAGCTCCAGGAGAAGATGGATTGTGGGTAGGGAGCATTAGGTTAGCAGAATCCCTCAGCCCGTTTCCCCAACTAATGCTTGTCATAAAACCATGACATTCTTGAATATTTGGGTTGGAGAGTGGACTTAACAGAAGGAAATGACCAAACATTGGCTTAATATGACAGAAAATTCCATAGATTTAGACAAGGCTAGATGTGAACTTTCTAACTGCTTTTTTCTCTCCTTTCAAACATGTCAACCATCTAGAAATTTTGTCAGTGAAAACATTGGCTTGTATTGGTAACTGAGGCCTCACAACCATAGAAGTTACAGGTTTATTTTTTTTCTTTAGCTCAAACAGTGGCTTATTTTCATTATTTCCCCCTTCCCTACCCAAGAATTAACTCTCAGTTCATATGCACTGAACAGTCATTTCTCACAAGTTTTCTTCTTGTTCATACAGATGCCAAGTTTGACCTTGTTAGGACTCCTTTACCAAGATGATAAACGCACAATAGAGGGTTTAACTCATTCCTTTGTCCAACATCACCCCCACCCCCACCCCCTGCTTCAAATTCAGTCTCCTGGCAAGGCAGGTTAAGGAGCTGACATCAGCTACATTTCATAGTGGAAAAAAATGACAAGGTACTTTTGAAGGGCAACAATAGAATCTGAGGACCTCTTCTGACGCTGAATTAAGGACACCGGAATACATTTCTACCCAAAGCTTGGCCTTTCTGGCTGGAGGACATTTGGGAAATTGATTAATGTTTTATATCCAGGGTGATGAGACACCTTCCTGAAAGCCCAAGGAAATGGAACTAGACCCCCTGGAAGGGCAGCATGGTCTGGGGTTCTTGCCTGGGATTCAGGAAATGCCTGTTCTAGTCCCATATTTGGAATTAACTCCCAAATGATCTGGAGTGGACGAGAAAATCTTGTAGCATTCTCTCTGTTCCAAAATTAGACTTGTGACCTGTGGGCATAGCCAAAGAGTCATCGCTTCAGGCAAGGCAGAGGCTGAGCTACCTACTACCTGAAGTGCTTTGCAGTCCTTGTATCTCTGATTCAGACACATTTTTTTCCAAAATATTTGGAAGAAGGGGTTAACATATAGGGCAGGGAGGGCACGATGGATTTCTCCGCTTGTGTTTGCCCAGCTGACTCCCTTCCAGAATGCCATCCCAGCATTGGCATTAGCCTCCCTGCAGAGGTTCCAGCAGTTATGAGGCCTGAGCAGGCCTCCCTTTGCGGGGTGCTGCACCGTGGTCGACTGACAACTGGAGCTCACGTGCAGACAGGCCCTGTGCCCTCGGCCACACATGCCCTGCAGAGTTCCCCTCCTAAAGTCAAGAACCCACAAAATATCGAGCTGCAGGGGCCCTCTGAAGACTCATCTAGTCCCATGTTGTTGTTGTTGTTGTTATTACTGTTTTTCAAATTTTTCTGCCTAGTGAACGTTTCCTTTTAACAAATCCTCTAGCTCAATATAGAAAACAGAAGCGGGGCTGCTCAGGTTGAAGGTGGTTCTGAAACTCACCCTGCTCACTCCTCCTCCTTCCTCGGTCACCCTGAAAGTCACACCTTTCAGGAATTACAGCTTAACTGTTGCTTAAGTTCCCGTTGGACAGAAGAGGAGACTGAAGCTCAGAATTCAGGGACAAGGCTAGCACCTCGGAACTCCTAAACCCAGGCACCTTCCACATAGTTGAAACCCCTTCATTTTTTCCAATTGCCCCCCCCTTGACCCCAGAATATATGTCTTTCTTGGCTACAAATTAGAAGGAAGCACTTCCCTTTCCATCTGAATAAAGCATGAGAATGCCATGCCTCCCCCAAATAAGTCGATATCTCTCTCCAAAATTCTGGGGTTTTTTCATCTGTTCCATGAGAAGGTGAGATGAGATGATCCCTAAAGTCCTTTAAATCCCAGAATTCTAATTCTAACCTTTCTTGCCAGAACTTTCCAGTTGACCCTACCAAATTCTCATTATCCTAGTTAGGATAATGGCAGAAACCAGTAATAATATGTTACAACGGCCACTTCTCAAAAGTTCCATGGCCATAAACACTCCAATGAAAGCCTACTGTCTGCTGGGGATGCCTTAGTGACATGTCATTTAAAGAAAACTGGTAAACATATCATGCCACCACTATCCTTTTCTAAACAATTTTAAACATCACTGATTTCCATTTGATGGGATAATGTCCCTTTGTTTTGAGGCTTTTTCACGCTGTGACTAAATTCCCCTTGCAGGCTTAGAAGTGGGTTTATAGGGCCCTCCAACTCACAGGAACGCTTTCTGGCCCAGCCCAAACCCACAGTCCACTCTTCCCACCCTGGCTCATCAGGGTGATGATGACCAAACTGCTGACACTGCACATCGGTAGCTTGAAGAAAAGCAGGACTCCAAGGCTGTGGTCCGGATGCTCTCATTTTATAAAAATTCCTCTCTCCGGCCTGATTTCCCTCAGTCCTTGGTCTTCAAGGCTCATGCACATCTGCACGACAGCATCTGCTTCCTTGGAATGTGGCTACAATGTATGGATTCCTGCAGTACACAGACGAGGCATACAAATTACAGCTGGTTAATGCTGTAGGTGAGGGGCAGGGAGTCGGTAGGCCTGGATCCTTGTGGCTGTTCTCTGCTAACGAGGTAACCTTGGGCAAGTGACTACTTCTAGAGGGGACTCTGTTTCCTCCTTTCTCAAATACAGGGACTTGAACCAGATGGCCTCTAAGGCCATCTAGCCCTAATGTTCTGTGCATCTAAGACTTCAAAAGTCATGATTCAACTCCATCATTATCATGATTGAAGCCCAGGGAAGGGCAGTTTATTGACCAAGGTCACACCGGGACCACAATTTATATCTCAACACCCTCAGTCTTTTATTCTTTTAAAAAATTTAATGAAAATGGAGTCCCGTCTTGTGGATGCTTAGGTTTTCAAGTGTAATGTATTGTAATGTAAGTATAATGTAAGGCAAGTATTGTCTATAATCAAACATACTCA